TGAATAAATAAATAAAATCTTTAAAAAATAAAAAAATAAAAAATAAAAGATTTTATTTTTAAGTTATCTCTATACCCAACGTGGGGCTCGAACTCACAACGCCAGATCAAGGGTCACATGCTCCACTGACTGAGACAGCTGGTGACAAGAGCTTCATCATCATAGCTCTGTATGTGTAAAATATTTTTCGTAAGTCCTATTTTACTCCATATTTAATCTGAGCTTAAATATTTAAATTTAAAATATCCAGACAACTTAAATATTTAAATTAAAAATATAAAGCAATAAAATTTTGCAAAAAAAATCTACATGACTACGTCTAAAATTTAGGGGCAGGGACAACCATATCAAAGAAGATAAGAAAGCAGAAACTATGTAATAATGAAATGGAATTACTTGATTAAATACCATGTAAAAATATTTGTGTGATACTATGTTCTATAAACACAATTAATACACAATTAGCACATAATCAATCTAGTAAAAATGTACTTTGCAGATTATAAAATTTGATTACTTACACAGAAGTAATAATTCTTATGATTTTCTGAGGAAAGACTAAGGGAAAACTGGGGAAAAGGTATGAATTTTCAGTTCACGAAGCCCAACCCAAAAGACACAACCTCCTAGAAAAATATTCACATACATTTGGGTGAAGAAATGCAAATTAAAGTAACAATGGCAGGGCGCCTGGGTGGCTCAGTCAGTTAAGCATCTGAATTTGGCTCAGGTCATGATCTTGGGGCCCAAGGATCCAGCCCTGCGTGCAGCCCCATGTTGGGCTCTGTGTTCAGCCAGAAGTCTGTTTCTCCCTCTCCCTCTGCCTCTTCCCCAATCCCTATGCTCTCTCTCTGTCTCTTTCAAATAAATAAAATCTTTAAAAATAATAATAAAATAACAATGCCCTATCACCTTCTACTCGCCAAACTGAGGGAAACACTGAAATTACTAACGCACACTCCTACTTTGCTGGTAGAACTCTGATTTGTTTCAACCTACCTGGAAATCCAGGATCCTTGTCCTCGTCCCTCGTCCCCCTCCCCCTTCTCCGTTTCTCCCAGTCTTCCTTCTCTCCCTCTTTCCTTTATCTAAAGCAGCATCCCACTCCTGTGAGTCTGAATCTGCCATAAGAATAAAGAAACAACAATAAGCTTGCTACAAAGCTGCAATCAGCAAACATCTAGGTTCTTATATACTCGGTAAAAAATATAATGAGGCTACTAATATTGGAGATTGTGGAGTGTAAAAGTGAAAGACCCCAGAGCCAGTTCAAATCTCAGCTGTGCTACTCATCAGATATCTGAAGATTGGCAAGTTATTTAATCTGACAGTGTTGCATTTTCCAGATCAGTGACATGAGGATAACATTGTATCTAACTCATGAGTTTGTTTTGATAATTAAAATAGATCTTAACCCACTGAGGCACCCAGGCACCCCACCCCCATCTACTTCTTTAATGTGAACATGATTTTTCAGTGTGTATCTGTGAAAACAAAGGGTAAATATAGAACTGATGCTGGATCCCGAGTAATTCCAGCAACAAGTAATATTCGAGGGTATATACACAAATAACTGAAAAACATCAGCACCATGCATCTCATTAAGAGATGTATACTTAGGAGCACCAGGCTGGCTCAGTTGGAGGAGCGTATGACTTTTGATCTTGGAGTCGTGAGTTAGAGGCCCACATTGGGCATAGAGATTACTTAAATAAATAAACTTAAAAAAAAAAGAGAGAGAGATTTAATAAAAATTTACTTCTATGTTAAATAACTATCAAAATTTATAATATATGCTGTTTTGATCAATGTGTACTACTGTTTGTGATAACTCAACCCAAAAGAATTTTATTAACACTTTACATCCTATGGTCACAGGAAATTGAAAACATCAATTCATTGCATATTTCTGTTGAAGAAAATTAGAAAAGCCTGACCAGTAAAAATTTGTAACATAACATTGTGTATAAAATTGTAGGGAAAGTAGAATGAAAATTCTACTCATTCAAGGAAGAAAAGTATGTAAAATTTCAAACTGTGAGCTCATCCATGTGTTTGGTTATGTCAAATCACCATAGGATGTAGATTCCACTGGATACATCCTCAAGAATGACTTTCACTTTCAACATTTTTATTTTAAAACGTTTGCATTTAATCATTTGTAACCATTTAAACTTAGGGTGAAACATTTTACATGCCACTTAAAAAATATTTAAGTGGGGGCGCCTGGGTGGCTCAGTCAGTTAAGCGTCTGCTTTCCACTCAGGTCATGATCTTGGGGTCCTGGGATTGAGTCCCGCATCAGGCTCCCTGCTCAGTGGGGAGTCTACTTCTCCCTCTGCCTGCCGCTCCCCCTGCTTGTGCTCTGTCTCTCTCTCTCTCTGTCAAATAAACAAATAAATTAAAAAAGAGAGAGAGAATTTTTAAAAAATATCTAAGTGGGGTGGGGGTGCCTGGGTAGCTCAGTAGGTTGGGTGTCTGACTCTTGGTTTGAGCTCAGGTTGTCTCAGGTTGTGGAATCAAGCCCCACATCAGGCTCCGTGTTCAGTGCAGAGTCTGTTTGGGGTTCTCTCCCTCTCCTTCTCCCTCCCCCTCTGCTCCTCCCACTCTCTCTCTCTCTCAAATGAAATAAATAAAATCTTTTTAAAAAAATCTAAGTGGGCACCAAATTCAGAGGGATTGAAAGCAAAAATTTTGGAGACTATTATGGTACACACTGTGGTCAATCAGAACAGTACTGAGAAAATAGAGGCACCTGGGTGGCTCAGTTGGTTAAGCCTCTAACTCTTGATATCAGCTCAGATCTTGATCTCAGGGTCTTGAATTCAAGTCCCAGGTTGGGCTCCACATTGGGTTCCATGCTAAGTGTGGAGCCTACTTAAAAAATAAACAAACTAACTAACTAAAAACAGTACTGAGAAAGTATACTGCACCTCCCAGAACTATGTGGCATGTCCCTATTTAAGGCCATTCATCCAGGACTGGGACCTACAGAATTTATGATACCCAATAACCTCTGAACTTTTCCTTTAAAGTTGGTGTGTGTGTGTGTGTGTGTGTGTGTGTGTTTAAGATTTTATTTATTTATTTGACAGAGAGAGAGGTAGCGAGAGCAGGAACACAAGCAGGGGGAGTGGGAGAGGGAGAAGCAGGCTTCCCGCCAAGCAGGGAGCCGGATGTGGGGCTTGATCCCAGGACCCTGGGATCATGACCTGAGCCGAAGGCAGGCACTTAACGACTGAGCCACCCAGGCGCCCCAAATTTGGTGTTTTGAGGGACTTTTGTTCCAAGTGGTAGAAAGAGCTATCGTTTAGTGCTCTTGGAAAGAGCACTCCATCCTAGGATTCCTCAACTCTACTCAAGGCTGAACCTGGCAGATTCCATATAAGGTAACTTTCCACTTTAAGATTCTGTGAGTTAGTATTAGAAACCTTCTAAATTAAAGGTTTCAATAAACTGAATACAGAGTTTTGACTACTGATGAAATAAGTAACAGCATATGAGGCTGTGGCAATTTATAGTACTGTCTACACAGCCAAAGCTGTCCTAGATACAATGATTGCTATACAGATAAAAATATAAGAATTCAATATTTGGGTAGGACACATCTCTACATTGCTAGGTCCAGGTTTGGCAAGAACGACTAAATTCTGGAGTGGTAGTGGACAGTACATACCACCCTTAAAAAACTGAAATAGAAATTCACGAGATTTAAGCATGACAGAATTTGGAGTTGGAAGAAATAGGTATGAGTTGTGACCACATTCCTAACTTCAGAGTTCCCTTCCTTCAGGGTGCCTGGCTGGCTCAGTGAGTGGCGTGTGTGACTCTTGATGTCCAAGTTGTGGGTTCAAGCCTCACATTGTGTGTAGAGTTCACTCAAAAATAATAAAAAAAAAATCTTTAAAAACAAAGTTCACTCTCTTCTGCTGCCAGGCATCTCAGCCTTGAAAAGACATTTCCTCCCTCACCCACCCACTCCCATACATGTCGTAATTTCATGATCAACCAACTGGAAATAAAAAATATCTCGTCCAGCCTGTTTCTCACAGCAACTGTGGGAGTTCCAGCAGGTAAAGTGGACATACTAATTTGCAAACTTTTGAGTAGGAAAAGGGTTATATTATTTATTATTTGTTTTTACTCAGGGTCTTGGGCAGAAATTACCTAGATATATAATTTGCCTGGAAAATGTATCAAAACCATATAAATAATGTCAACTGCCTTGTACTATAATATTTTCAATAATGCAAGTAAGCTGTTGGTAAATACTCTATGGTTTTCCCTTCAATACTGATATTGACTACTAAATATTAACACCAAAGTAATAATATGGAAGATTAAGAAAGGATTAAGAAATGTTTTGTTCCTTCCTGTCTTTTATTGTCTGTTGATTTAACACGTGTCACTGAACTTCCTAGTGACTGCCCTTCTTACCTCAGAGATAAAGATCAACTTTAAAAATTTAATCGCAAAGTTCTTGGTGCCTATTCTTTATCAAATGATCCCCTGCAGATAGTCTTTACTAGCTCTTTTTCTGGCATCTTCTAAAATTCCATTTTTTTTTAAAGATTTTATTTATTTATTTGAGAGAGAGAATGAGATAGAGAGAGAGAGAGAGAGCATGAGAGGGGGGAGGGTCCGAGGGAGAAGCAGACTCACTGCTGAGCAGGGAGCCCGATGCGGGACTCGATCCCGGGACTCCAGGATCACGACCTGAGCCGAAGGCAGTCGCTTAACCAACTGAGCCACCCAGGCGCCCTAAAATTCCATTTTGAGATCATTTTCTTCTAATGTCCAATTGTTCTAGAGAAATAAATGAAGCCACTTAATTGCATCAGACAAAATTCATTCCAAATGGCCTGAGGAAAGAACATACTTGAAGGATTTAGACTTCATTTCCTGGTCAATGTGGGATCTCTGTGAGAATGCGTACTTCACACGGAACCTGCTCTCTCCTACCATCAAAGGCTGCATATTTTCATAGCTCTTCTGCCACCATGAAGGAGGTTTTCTCAAATGCCGTCCTTGTCCTGGCCATCTCTGTGTGGGCTGCCCTTGCAGTTGGTGAGTTATGTATCCTTGCTCTGCCCACGTTTCCTGGGGTATATCCAGTATTACAGGAAAATCAGAGGCAGGAGTGGAAGTGCTGTTCAGTTTTGTTTAATACTAATTCCTTTATGTTACAGATGTAGAAACTGAAACCCAGAGGAAGAGAGGATTCCCTCAATGTCATTGGTATCAAAGCTGGGAGTCAAATCCAGACCTTCCAAACCCAGGACCACTGAACTTTCCAAAATACCTGATTACTATCGAGGCATTCAAACCTTAAAAACATTCATTTCCAGAATCTGTATATTTACATTTCTCAAACCCCAAAGGGAGTATCAGGCAGGACAGCAAAGCAGAGACTGCCAAGAGGTGGTGGTGAGGGGTTATAGTTATATGGCGGAATGAGGGAGTATGGGGACTTACGGAATTTTCCCTTTTTTTGGTAATCTGAGGAACTGTGCGTGGCTGTAATTGGTCAGTTAGGGCCTATGGCTATTTCATGTGGATTGCTTCACGAGCCTGTTTGTGTTAACTTGGTTGTCGGTGGTCACTGCGGGCCCTCTTGCCTTCTTCAGATTTCTATTGCTCAAGCCTGTTGCCTAAAAGCAGCCTCTACACTCAACACCTCCTGTTTCCATCTGGACTCTGAAATTCTCATTTACTTTCAATTTTTTACTTTCTCTTGGTGCTTTCTCTCACTTAAAACATTTTTTTCACAACTTAAGAGGCTCTGTAACAAATTGAAAACTGTTCTTCCTGCCTCTAATATCTTATGGGGAAAACCCCTTTTCTTCTTCTACTGAAGAAAAAACTATTTCCTTCTACTCCAACACGTCTGACACCAAATGTGTGGGTTTTCCACACCAAGCAATCTTCCCATTTTCTGTGGATACCAACTGGGTATCCCACAATTTAATATAATTATGGCACTACTATCTGGCATCCATCCAAACACCACAGTTAAGGACTCAGTCCCACAAGACTGCCCTTACTTGGGACAGCAGTCACAAGACTGGGCCTCCAGTACTTCTAACCAACGAGCTGTAAGTCAGGAGTTCCCCTGACCCCCTCCTCAGGTTCAGTAATTTGCTAGAATGGCTCACAGAACTCAGGACAGTGCTTTACTTACTGTTACCAGTTTATTATAAAGGACACAACTCAGGAACAGCCAAATGGATGCATAGGGCAAGGTATGTGGGAAGGGGCAGAGAGCTTCTATGCCCTCTCTGAGCATACCACCCTCCCAGCACCTCAGTGTGTTCAACCTGGAAGCTCTCCAAACCTTTTGGTTTAGGATTTTTATGGAGGTTCCATTATAACAGTGTCAACTGAGAAAAAGAGGCAAAACTGAAAAAGAACAAAGGCCTCTATCTGAGGTCTCGGAATTGCCATTTGGCAAGCACAGTTTCCAGAGTAACCAGAAAAGTGTCCTGCTCACATGGGAAAGCAAGAGGGGTTTTATGAGAAAGAAAGAGGGTAACTACAGGATATAAAGAGGAGAAAACTTAATTCAGTGCTAACCGGTTGAGCTGCTTTTGGTGACTACCTAGTTGATTATTTTATAGGTGCTATCAAACAAAACGCCTCCTGGAACGCATTAGTCAATGTTTCTGTCTTCATAAAGGTCATGTCAACAGTTTTATGGTCTGAGGACCTGTTGTTCTGTTGGATTTTACAAGCAACTGTTTGTAATACAATGACCCCTTCTGGCCCAGTTCAAGAGTTCATTAGTTAGAAAGGAAAATAGAGCTTCAAAATGGAATCTCTCCTGTCTAAATATTTTATACAATTCCACAAAGGCACTCATGATTGAATCATTGGCCACTGGCGATTAATTTAATCTCCACCTTCTGATGGGATCTGTTGCTTCCCGTGTGCCAAGCAGGGTCTCCCTCATCCTAGCTTTTTTCCCTAAGGTCAGAAGACAGAGCAGCAACTCTTCCGAATGTATTTTTGTCTTCCAGATTTCCCTCTTCCTACAGGCACAGGGGCTCGCCTACAACAGACAAAGGTGAGCTCTACTTCTTGGTTCCCAAGAACAAGAATGGGGAGTAAGCCAGTTTCCTGGATAGTCCCCAGAGCTTTCTTCTGAGAGGTGGGGGCAGAGGGGACTTGTGTGGGAATAACACCACAGTAAAAGCTGGGTCAACTGTGTGTAGCACATTTCATATGTTCCTCAGCCCTCTTCCCATGCATTATTCCAATCAGTTCATACTCTCTTGTGGGATAGAACCCAAGTATTTTGAACCATTAAATGGATGATGAAGTCATGGCTCAAGTTCAGGTCAGTCCTATGCTGCAGTGGACATTCTTTCAGCCGAGATAGGCTAAAATGTACATCCTGCCTCCCCCACACTAAAGCCCCACAAATATTCTCTCTGTCCCCTTCCTTCTACACCCTACCTCTGCTGTGATAAATTTGACATCACTGCTGTCTGAAGCACCACACACAAGTCACTCATGTTCATAAGAAAAGTCTAACCTTCAGGACATGTTCCTTTCTGTAATCTAACAATCACATTTTGTGGTTGGTAGGGCAGGGATTTTCATCCTAATGAGGAACTTACATCTTAGACTGGGGAGTTCACAGATTATATGTTACATTATAGTATATATTATATTATAGTCATATTGTTGGGTATGTTCCAGGGGTCAAACCCCAAAGCTGCTAAAGACTGTTCCCTGGATGCTTGGTCTAGCACTCCTTCTTTAAGCCCCCTATCCCACTACCAGTGACAATGGCCAGAGGTCCTGGAGGAAGGCATCTGAAGCAGTAATCTGTGTCTCATTTTCAGGCGGAGTGCACTGGGAATATAAATAAGTGCTGGATTTTCTCTTACATCAAGCCAAGTGAACCCATATGTGGCAGTGACCAGGTTACTTACAGTGGTGAATGCCATCTCTGCTCCCAAATCCTGTAAGTCTTTTTATTCTCCTTTCTCCCAGTCAGGAGGCTAAAGGTAGCCAAGATAGGAGTAACCTCTTCAGAACACTTCCTACTGGTTAGATCTTCTCTCCAGTGACTCCTCCATGATTTGTTCCTCCATTTCTTCCATCTTCCCTTATGCTCTCAGAAGTGATCCCATTCACACAATTGCAGAAACAGAAACCCATTGAGTCGAGAGTGTTCTGTCTGGCCTGGACAAATATCAAGTGGAAAGTTCTCAGCAGCAACAAGCCACAGCATTCAGATCATGTGACCGCAGATGAGGGTTACCCTCAAGCCCCTCAGGCCAAAGAACAAAAGCCTGATGAAGAAGAGGAAGAGGCGCCGGGTGAAGAATCTTCCCAGCTGTCGCTTTATTGATCCTTGAATGGGTATTATCCTCTCAAACAACTTTCTTTAGCTTCCAACTTTCTTTTAGCTTTCACACTTTAGCTTTCACGGCTTAGTCTTTGGGCCCATCATATGTTAGACATGAAGTGGCCAATGCTTTGGTCTAAGAGGAACAGCAAGGTACAGAGGTTTTCATCAAGGAGGCTGCCTTACAGAGTTTGGAGGAGGATTCCTTGACATCTGCTTTCTCCTTTAAGGAAAAAGCAACACCCTTGGATGACTAAGTTTTAGAGATTAAGTCCAATATTTCAAGAGAGAGAAAAAGCAAAGACAGGAGAGTAGATAAAATTTTCTTTCTCTCCTTCCTCTTGTCTTCTCCTTAAAAGAAGAAATAATAATCCTGGTCACAGGGGTGCCTGGGTGGCTCAGTCAGTTAAGCGACTGCCTTCGGCTCAGGTCATGATCCCAGGGTCCTGGGATCGAGCCCCACAGCCGGCTCCCTGCTCGGCGGGAGGCCTGCTTCCCCCTCTCCCGTTCCCACTGCTTGTGTTCCTGCTCTCGCTGTGTGTGTGTGTCTCTCTCTGTCAATTAAATAAAATCTTTAAAAAGATAAAAAAATAAGATTTATTGTTTAAAATAATCCTGGTCACAGTAAGAGATGTCAAGCTGGGCAGGATTGGACTTTCTTGCATGCCTTGCTGCATGAATACCAAAATTTACACTAGAACCCACAAAAAACTTGTGAGGTGAACAACTTTAGTGTCAGCCTCCATTACCGGTACAGACAGCTGACAATCAGAATGTACAGTCTGGGGAATTTAGAACATCACAGACCCATAGAAGGCTAAAACCAGGAGATACTTGAGAGATAGATGACTTTCAAAGAACTCACACTGACTAGTATTTTCTGAAATATATTCTTAGTAGTTAATAGGGGAATGAAAGGATTTTAATGTATAATAATCTAGTTTGGACTGATACCACATTAATTACCAAAGTATTTTTAAAAACTTTGCTCCTGATAGCTCCATTCTATCCCCTCTTCTTTGTATATTATTATCATGCAAATTACACCTTCATACATGGATGCCCATCAATATAGATTTGTAATTATTGCTTTATGTAGTTGCCTTTTCAATCAATACTATCTTTTCTATTTCCCTATATAGTTACCTTTACTGGTTCTCTTTGTTTTTTCATGCGGATTTGAGGTTCTGTCTAGTGTCTTTTCACTTCAGCCTGAAGGACTGTCTTTAGTATTTTGAAGCAACAAGTTCTCATTTGGGTTGTTTCCTCATTTTAGCTACTGTGAATGGTGCTGCTATGAACATTTATGTAAAGGTATGTACTTGAGCACCTGTTTTCAATGTTTGGGGTATAAACTTAGGAGTGGAATTTGCTGGGTCCTATAGTAATTATATGTGTAACTTACTGAGAAACCAGCAAATGTTTCCCACAGGGACTGGACCATTTTACATTCCTGCCAGCAACATTGAGGGTTCCAATTTCCTCACATTCTCCCCAACATTTTTTAATATCCATCCTGTGGATGTGAAATGATATCTCATTATGGCTTTAATCTACATTTCCCTAATGACTAATGATGTTAAGCATCTTCATGTACTCGTTGGCCATCTGTATACCTTCTCTGGAGACATGTCTATTTGAGTCTTTTGCCCCATTTTTTTTTTAAGATTTTATTTATTTATTTGAGAGAGAGAGAATGAGAGAGAGAGCACATGAGAGGGGGGAGGGTCAGAGGGAGAAGCAGACTCCCTGCCGAGCAGGGAGCCCGATGTGGGACTCGATCCCAGGACTCCAGGATCATGACCTGAGCCGAAGGCAGTCGCTTAACCAACTGAGCCACCCAGGCGCCCCTTTTGCCCCATTTTTTTAAAAGATTTTATTTATTTGAGAGAGACAGAGCGAGAAACAGCATGAGAGGGGAGAGGGTCAGAGGGAGAAGCAGGCTCCCCACTGAGCCAGGAGCCCGATGTGGGACTCAATCCCAGGACTCTGGGATCATGACCGGAGCCGAAGGCAGACGGTTAACGACTGAGCTACCCAGGTGCCCATTTTTTTTTTTTACTTCATTCTGTCTTTTTATTTTTGAACTGTAAGAGTTCTCTATATATTCTTAATACTAAATATTATAATTTGTAAATATATTCTCCCATTCTGTAGACTGTCTTCCACTTTCCTGATAATGTATTTTGATGCACAAAGTTTTGAATTTTGATCAAGTCCAATGTATATATATATATTTTTTTCCTGCTGCTTCTCCTGCTTTCAGTGTCATACCTAAGGAGCCTCTGTAAAATCCAAGGGCATGAAGACTTACCCTTATATTTTCTTCTAAGAGTTTTATAGTCTTGGCTATTAAATTTAGGTTGTAGGGATGCCTGGGTGGCTCAGTCAGTTAAGCGTCTGCCTTCAGCTCAGGTCATGGTCCCAGGGTCCTGGGATCCAGTCCCACCGGCCTCCCTGCTCAGGGGGGAGCCTGCTTCTCCCTCTCCCTCTGCTGTTCCCCCTGCTTGTGCTTTATCTCTCTGTCAAATAAATAAATAAAATCTTTTTTTTAAGAATTTTTTTATTTATTCATTTGAGACAGCGAGATAAAGAGAAAGAGCAGGAGCAGTGGGGAGAGGGAGAGGAAGAGGGAGAAGCAGACTCCCTGCTGAGCAGGGAGCCCGACGTGGGGCTCGATCCCAGGACCTGGAGATCATGACCTGAGCTGAAGGCAGACGCTTAACCATCTGAGCCACCCAGGCGCCCCAATAAATAAAATCTTTAAAAAAAATTTAGGTTGTAGATCTATTTTTGAGTTAATTTTTGTTATGGTGTGAGACAGAGGTCCAGCTTCATTCTTTTGCATGTGATTATCTAGTTGTCCCAGCACCATTTGTTGAAAAGACTATTCCTTCTATAACTGAAAGGTCTTGGCACCCTTGTCAAAAATCAATTTGTCATAGATGTTTGAATTTATCCTGCACTCTCAATTTCATTCCATTGTTCTTTAGGTCTATCCTAATGCCAGTGCCACACAGTTTCTATATCTTGGTAGTAAGTTTTTGAAATTGGGATTTTGGGGTTCTCCAACTTTTCTTTTTTTCAATGGTTCTGGCCACGCAGGACCTCTTGCAACTCCATATGAATTTGAAAGTAAGCTTTTCCATTTCTGCAAAAAAAAAAAAAAAAATGCCATTGGTATTTGGATAGGGATTACATGGACTTTGTAGACTGCTTTCGGTAGTATGGACATTTCAACATTAAGTCTTCCAGTCCATGAGCATGGGAGAGTTTCCATTTATCAGGACTTCATCAATTTCTTTCAGAACTGTTTTTTAGTTTTCAGTGTACAAGTCTTTCACCTCCTGAGCTAAATTTATTCAGAAGTATTTTATTTTTTTGGATGCTATTGTAAATGGGATTGTTGTTGTTGTTTCTTTGTTTTTTAAGTAGGCTCCATGCCCAGCACGGGACTTGAACTTACGACCTCAGGAGAGTTGCATGCTCTACCAACTGAGCCAACCAGACTCCCCCATAAATGGAAGTTTTTTTTTTTAATTTTTTTAGAGATTTTATTTATTTCAGACAGAGAGTGAGAGCATGAGCGGGGGTGGGGGGTATAGGAGCAGAGGGAGAAGCAGACTCCCCACTGAACAGGGAGCCTGATGCAGGGCTCAATCCCAGGACACTGGGATAATGACCTGAGCCGAAGGCAGATGCTTAACCAACTTGAGCCAGCCAGGCGCCCCTGGAATTGTTTTATTAATTTTATTTTCAGCCTGTTCACTGTTGCTATATAGAAACACAACTGATTTTCATGTGTTGATCTGTACCCTGAAACAGTGCTGAATTTATTAGCTTTAGTAGTTTTTATATGAATTCTTTGGGATTTTCTGTATGTAGAATCATGTCATCTTCAAATAGAGATAGTTTTACTTCTTCCTTTCCAATTTGGATCTCTCCCCCTACCCCAGCTTTATTGAGGTAAAATTGACAAATAAAATTTTGGATGCCTTTAATTTCTTTTTCTTGCCCTGGTTAGAACTTTCAGCATAATGTTGAATATCGATGGTGAAAATGGGTATCTTTGTCTTGTTTCTGATCTTAGAAAGAAATCTTTCAGTCTTTCACCATTGAGAATGATATTGCTGTGGGTTTTTCGTGTTGTTTATCATGTCAAGGAAGGTCCCTTCTATTCCTTGTTTCTGAGTGTTTTTATTATGAAAAGGTGTTGAATTTTGTCAAATAAGGGATTTTTTTAATGTAAATTGAGATGAACATGAGCTTTTTACCTCCTCCATTCTATTAATGTGATGCTATTGCATTGGTTGATATTTTGGGGTTGAACCACCCTGCATTCTTGGGATAAATCCTGGTCACAGTGTATAATTCTTTTAATATGCTGTTGGGTTCAGCTTGTTATAGTTTGGTTGCGAATTTTTACATCTATATTCATAAGGGATTTGGTCTATAGTTTGTGTGTGTGTGGTGTGTGTGTGTGGTGGTGTGTGTGTGTGTGCGTGTGATGTTTTTGTCTTTGCTATCATGGTAATTCTGGCTTCATAGAATGATTAGCACGTGTTTTTTCCTCCTCTATTACTTGAGTTTGAAAAGGATTGGTATTTGCTCTTAAATGTTTGGTAGTGTTCGCTAATGAAGAAGATACCTGGTCCTGAACTTTTCTTTATTAAGAGGTTTTTTATTACTGATTCAACCTCTTTACTTGATACAGGTCTGTTGAGATTGCCTATTTCTTCTTGAGTCAGTGTGTTTCAGTAATTTGTCCATATTTCTTCTGATTTGTGTTTTTCTAGGGATTTGTCCATTTCATCTAGATTATCTAACTGTTGACATAACAATTGTTCATAGTATTCCTTTATAATCATTTTTATTTCTGTAAGGTCAGTAGTAATGTCTTATCTTTCATCAAATTCATACTTTAATTTTATTGCATATTCTTTTTATGATACTCTGGATTTCTACTTAAATATTCAAGATTATTTTTAATTTTCTATATTTGATTTAAGGCTGAGTATGTTTCACATATCAAATATCTTTGACAAATAAAGATCTATAACAATAGGGATTTTTAAATATTTGCTACATAAGAATTCACTATAAGCAGTGTTTTTCCTTCTCAAACTTAGCTAAAGATTATCAAGTGAAATTTAGTCATAATTTATAATATGCCATAAAGCAAAAATAATCATTTCAAAATATAATTTCTTTCAGATACAAAGGGCTTAACATAACTAAACTGTACGATGGACCATGTGTAAGTAAAGTCACTCTCATTTTTCATTTTTAGGAGTAAACCAGATATACTGATATGCTGTAGAGTGCTTTAAATGTTTTGCTATAAAAAATTTCAAACATAAAACTAGATACAATATAATATCATATGCCTATCATACCATTCCAACAAAGTATAAAGTGTTTGCCACATTTCCTTCATTATTCCTTTTTTTTTTTTTTTTTGCCTAAATATATTAACGCACATCTTGGACATCATGTCATTTTACTAAGAAGTGTGGACATTTCCTTACATGCCCACAATGCTATAATCACACCTAATTAGTACCCTGTCACCTTCTAATATGTATTTCATGTTCAAATTTTCCCAGCCATCTCAAAAATAATATCTTCTGGGGAAATAAAAGTATTTCCGCCTAATAATTCAGTAGTTAAGAACATCCAGTCCACCTTTCTGTTCCCTGCCATACCCAATTTCTGGGATATTTTTTTTAAAAATTTTATTTGAGAGAGAGAGAGAGAGCATGCACGAGCGGAGGGGAGGAGCAGAGGGAAAAGCAGCCTCCCCGCTGAGCAGGGGACACTTGATCCCAGGACCCTGGGATCATGACCTAAGCCGAAGGCAGACACTTAACTGAGCCACCCAGGCCCCCCCCCCAATTTCTGGTATATTGATAAAAGACACTAACTAGAACATGAAAGGTTATTCAGAGAGTGAATGGACCAGGTCTTGCTTAGCTCTGGCCTAGATATTGTGTCTTTGACTTCAGGGTCATAGGGCCAAAGCAAGAACTCAGCTGATGCCATAAAGATCATTGTAGAGTTATGAAGCACAGAAACAAGACTGGGGAAAGTCATCTTGGAACAAAATATAAAAAACGTGGAAGGTAAAGCAGGTAAAAAAGAAATTATATACTTGATAATAATTTCATGACAATTATCTTCTGACACAATCTCAACAAGCTGACAAGACTCAACTGATGTATAGACCAGCATACATATTACTCACTTGGGGAGGGTCTATAACCTGAAAGTTCTCTAGTTCTACTAGAGAGAAATATAAAGACTTTTAGGCACTTCCATGATTTGGGGTAACTATAAAGAGACCTTACATTTCCTCTACCTCTGTCAGATGCCTTTGACCTGGGCTAATTCATAAAAAATCCTGCTGAATCCCCTTCTCTTATATCTGGACCATAGCCCTTTCCAAATAAACTTCTGGTCTTACGTCTTTTTCAAGTTTGTAACTTCAAAGAGATGCTTTTAATCTTAAGGATATCAATAAGATGGTGTCTGAAAGCTTTCTGCTGGCAGAATTTCTTTTCGCTCAGAAAGGTTGGTCTTTTGTTCCAATAAGACCTTCAGCTGATTGGATGAGGTCCACCCACACTGTGGCAGGTAATCCTGGATTAAATGTTAAATGTTTTTTTAATTGAGTTTTTTTTAATTCTAATATAGTTTATACATAGTATTATATTAGTTTCAGGTGTACAATACAGTGATTCAACAATTCTATACATTACTCAGTGTTCATCATAAGCGTACTCCTTAATTCCCATTAGCTATTTCACCCATCGCCCCCACTCACCTTCCCTGTGGTAACCATCAGTTTGTTCTCTATAGTTAATGGGGGTGCCTGGGTGGCTCAGTCAGTTAAGCATCTGCCTTCAGCTTAGGTCATGATCCCAGAGTCCCAGGATCAAGCCCCACATCAGGCTCCCCACTCAGTGGGGAGTCTGCTTTTCCCTCTGGCCCTCCCCCCTCTCATGCTCTCTCTCTCTCTCAAATAAATAAAATCTTAAAAAAAAAAGTCTGTTTCTTGTTTGTCTTTCTCTTTTTTTCCTTTGCTCATTTGTTTCATTTCTTAAATTCCACAGATGAGTGAAATCATATGGTATGTGTCTTTCTCTGACTGACTTATTTTGCTTAACATAATACCCTCTAGTTCTATGTCATTGCAAATGGCAAGATTTCATTCTTTTTTTTTTTTTTTAAGATTTTATTTGACAGAGAGAGAGACAGCAGGAGAGGGAACACAAGCAGGGGGAACGGGAGAAGGAGAAGCAGGCTCCTGGCTGAGCAGGGAGCAGGGTGGGCTTAGCCACAAGCTATTAACACTATTAAGGGGATTCTGAAATTGTGCTGGAGGTGAGATCAGTCCACAAAATCAGTAAGAGTTCTTTACAGCAGTAACACCCAATTAAAAAATAAAAAATAATACATCACTCAAAATAGAAACAAAAACTATGAAGTATCTGGAAATTAACTATAAAAGAATAAAAATATTCAGGGCTTCCAAAGAAAAAACTTTAAAACTCAAAGGGTATTTAAAATCATATGAATAACGGAGAGACCGTCCATGCTCCTAGATTATAACTTAAGTAATATGATTGTTAGTTTTTTTCTAAACTATTCTAAAAATTCATTTCATTCCCAATCAATATTTCAGTTGGGTTGAAGATCTCTGATAAATAAAGGACACTATGGTAAATTAGTAGACAGCTGACAGAACCGGAGGATATTTGCCATTCCTTAAAACAATAAGCTAATATTGAGAATGTGTGTCTAAATAAGCAGCAAGAAAATATACAGCAAACCAACAGGAAAATAGGCAGAGGCTACGGTTTTATACAAGAAAGATAAAATCTAATTAGCATAAGAAAGATGTTCAGAAGCTCGTGAATAACCAGACGGGTTCAAATTGAAACAAGATACCAATTTGCACTTGTTATACGAGTAAAAATCAGAAAGCTGGGTCATGTCCAATGCTGTACTCTCATGACATGTGGTAAGAGTGAAGACTGTCCTAGCCACTTTTTTTTTTTTTTTTAAGATTTTGTTTATTAGAGAGACAGCAGGAGCAGAGGGAGAGGGAGAGGGAGAAGCAGATGCCCTGCTGAGCAGGGAGCCCAATGTGGGGCTTGATCCCAGGACCCTGGGATCACGATCTGAGCCGAAGGCAGCTGCTTAACTGACTGAGCCACCCAGGCACCCCTGTTACAGCCACTCTTGAGGAGCAATCGACCACTTCCTAGGCAAAGTAAGAAATTAAATACACGCATATCTAGCGGGCCAGCATTTCCAAACCTAGGAAATCACAAAGCAATTCTCTCATAGCTTTGTAATGTGACATACATGTTTATTGCAGTATTATTTGTGGTGGCAGGTGGCCATTTTGAGGGCAGCCTGGGTGAGACTAGTCCAGAAATCAACTAGTAAACTGTGGAAGGTGTCTTCATAGAGGTCCATGCAGCTTTCAGAATAAAACAGATGTACATTTTGGCAGTGTGAGTAGATCTCACAATATTGCACTGAGCGAAAAAGAGAGTAATTCAAGTACCTCACTACCATTATGTAAACTAAAAATAACCACAAACAGTACATATTTTATGCAAAAACATAAACAAAAAGAGACATACTGAACTCATTAAAATGTTTGGCTGTAATGTGAGGAGAAAGGGAATAAATGAATAAATGAATGAATGAATGAATGAATGAATAGCGGCCCCTCCCCAAAGCCCTTTACCAAAGCACGGTGGAAACTGTTTTCGACAAGATCGAAGAGAAAATAACAATATCCTTGGTGGGAGGACTAACAGTTATCACTTATCGACTGCTAGCTGTGTACCTTGCCCTGTGTCCCATGCTTTGCCTATATCTCCTCCCCCATGTTTCTACAGCCCTCACCATGAGGCAGGTGTTGCTATTAGCTACATTTCATATTGAAAGATGGAGAGGTCTACAGAGGGATGTGACTTGCCCAAGGCCACACAGCTAGGAATGGGCAGGGCTGAGTCTTGAACCTGGCTGGTCAGCCTCCAGACCCTGTTAATAGCACTTTCTATGCTGCCCATGGCACCTCATAGGCCTCTGACCAGACTCTACTTCACCAATGTCACTGCCTCTATCCGCCACCTTTCTGCCCCCTGGCTCTCCTGGGGTTCAAAGACTCACATAGCCATCTGCATCCTTAGCTCTCCTCTTCTCTTCCCACTTCCACTCTGTGCTCCTGTTCTTCATTGACATTAGAATGTCTCTAGTCTGCCTTAATTCACAGAATAATGGTTTAGCCATTCCTCCTGCAGGACTGTGGGTGTAGTTATCAATGTGGTAGTTTTTCTCTTAACTTTCCCAAATTTGATTTCTCTAAGCCAATACTTCCCTTGCAGGAAAACTCCTGAACTTACCTGAAGAATTATAGAACTTGCTGAATCCCCGACGATCAAGGGAAACTTAATGGTTGTCACTTCCAGTATCATCCCCTGTGGAGGAGAATGCTGATGCTGGAGGAAACCAATGGTTAGAGGATCAAATTCCTTGATATTTGCTTCTTCAATAAATGATTCTCAGTAGAAATTCTGGCTGGCAAACATTTCTCTTCGTTAATCAGAATCTGTTAAAAATATCAACTATTCTGTGTTCGCATCCCAAAACTACAGGACTTATGCCATAGATTCTCTCTGTTCTCTGTGAGCAAATGACCCCAGAAATCTAAACGATGGGACAGGTGCCTCAAGAGCAGCTAAAGATACAACTCGAGGGCTTGGGTCATTATGGAGCTGAATATGCGTCATGTGAGTGACACGGATTTCAATACACCAGGATCTGGTTTCAGCAATTTCAACCATACCATAAAAGAGAGACTTTTATCCAAAGAAAACATATTGAGCACAATACTGCCTGGCCACAGTATGGTTTCTAAATACTATACAAGCACTAACTTACTTAAGCCTCACTACAAACTTAAGAAGTACATCCTCATTTTACAGACAAAGGAATGGAGGCTTAGAGAGTTGCACACAATTCCACACTGAGGATTCTACTAGAACAAACTGCATAGATCCTTATATAGAACATACAGTAATGGTCCTAGGGAAACACATATATACACATGTACACATTAAACTGAGAAAGGATGAGGAAATACATGCTTGTGTTAATATATGTTTATTTCTTAACATGCTTTAATGCTTTTCCGCTTTCCCAAAATTATAAGTTGCAGACTAATGATATCACTTAGGA